CTGCTAACACCAACAAGATAGATCCTATGGAGGATGGGGGGAAAAAAAGAAACGGATGCATTTTATCCCTTGTCTACTGGTGCTGTCAACTCAGACATTAATCTGTGATAAACTAAAATGGCATCCATATACAAAAATAACAGCATTAAAATTGCAAGTATAGTATATTGGTACACCATATTCAGTGGCAGAGCACTGAATAACTGCCCAGCAGAATTGGATGGGACAAAGGTGCTCAGTTAGTAAGAGGCTGTGCCTGCTTCAGAGACTTGATGGATCCCAGGATCACCTGGCTCTCTATAGCCCTCTCTCCCAACCTGCTGATCTCTTGATGGCTTTTTGTGGCCCCTCTCAGAACGCAATCAATACTTCAGAAGTTACAACACTGACTTTCTCATAGAGGAAGTATTCAAAAAAGCAGCATGTATTGAGTGTTCTGAGGAGTAACAAGGCCTTAAAACTCCTGGCCTAGGATCGTTATCCTTCTAGAACAGCCTTTCCAATACAATACAATACAATACAATACAAATACTTTAATTACCAAGTATAAAATATACACAAGGAATTTGTCTTCAGTGATGAACAGCAAGATCAACGGTGCGTTTGGATAGCAACAAAAAATTAATAAACAGTAACAATAACACTGCCCATAGCAACAAAAAATTAATAAACAGTAACAATAACACTGCCCATAGCAACAAAAAATTAATAAACAGTAACAATAACACTGCCCACATATCAAATCATACAGTGTTTAACAGAGCAATGGCACAAGGGAAAAAACTATTCCGATGTCTAGATGTTTAACATATGGAGCTCTATAGCGCCGTCCCGAAGGAAGAAGTTGGAACAGGTTATATCCAGGATGAGAAGAGTCTGCAGATATCCTCTCTGCCCTCCTTTTGACCCTTACAGTATACAGTATATCTATAGAAGGCAGACGGGTTGCAATTATCCTTTCTGCAGACTTAACTGTTGAAGTCTGAATCTGTCCTGTTAGGTTGCAGAATCAAACCAGACAGTTATAGAGGAGCAGATAACAGACTCAATGATTCCCCTGTAAAACTGTACCAAGAGCTCCTGGGATAATTTAAACTTCCTAAATTGCCGCAGAAAAAACATCCTTTGCTGTGCCTTTTTAATGATAGCTGTGATGT